GACTACGTAAAAACTACATGAATTGATTGCTTTTTCCATAACTAACAGGAATTTACCTGTTTACACCTCCAAATCTTGCAATCTAGGGAGTTTTAGCCCTCGAATTTACGAATTGAATCCTATTGTTTTTCCATAGTCCGCCATTCTTTTTTGTGGAAGACCGCTGTATTATTCGCAGGCTCAGATAGAGAAAGAGGCGGCAAAATCGAGGATTTTAAGGCAGTCTTTTTAGTTTTTTTCCGTTTTTTTTGCTTGAAGTATTTTATAAATATATTGTTTATTAATTTAAAACAGAAAAGTGAGAAAATATATATTTAGTAAACTACAGTATTTGATCAAAGTGAGTATAGTGACATTTAAGATTTCAATTATTTCTTATGTATTTTAGCAGTGCAAAACTGCGGGAAAGCGGTATCTATCTAAAAATTTGAACATTATAAACAAAAGAGAAAGGTTCAGTTGTTCTGAGTGGATGACCTCAACCCGTGCGCTTACATCATTAAATACTTATATAATATTATAGAGAAGATTACTCATTACTTGTAAGCGTCCTAGTAAGACCTTTTCTTACTAGCTATTTTCGTTCAAATACAATGCAGATTTATATGACCTTTTAAATGGTCTAATTATATGAGCAAATAATACATAACATTATATTATTATATGACTAATTATACTAAACGTGCGACCTGAATCGACAAATTTGATGTGATGCGCGCATATTCCTCAAGCGATAATCTATAAATCTGTAAATCTATTAATCTTCCTCACTATCGTACTCATCGTCTTTATCATCACAATCATCATCATCATCATCATTCTCATCTTCTGACAAATCGTCATCTCCTGCAACAAAATTACAGCAGTCTGCGCAGCCACACAAGTCGGTACATTTAAAGCCAGACTTCAAACATGAGCATCTAAGGGTTTTGCACCCAGTTTTACAATGGCAGGTGACGACCTCAATTAGGGTGTCAGGTGCTGACGGCCGAGTCATCCATAGAACTTTCAATTGGTCGTCTTCGATGAGCCATCCGTTTCCACACGGGGGCTGGAGTCTCATTTTCGGCAGAAGGCATTTGTTCCAAATATATGCTTGATAGTTTGATCTCTCGATGTGCAGCATCAGACTGTCTGTGTTAGGGGGGAGGCAATCGTCAGAACATTTCCCAGACACAAACAAGGCGTACCTACAAATCCAAAAGATACAAAAGTGCAGATGTGTGAATAGAATTCGCAACAAGGCCTTACCTTGAATCATTGACGCAAGTTCCCTTTTTGTCGCCATAAAGCAGGCAGACAAATCTATTCAAAGGAGTGGAAACTTCTTCGGAAATCTCAAACGATTGGCCAAGCAACGAGAAAGGCTCTAAAAACTCAGGATTTTCTAAAAGCAATTTCCAAGGCTTTACTTTGCCTTTTCCAGCAAAGGCGCTTGTGGAATCACAGCCTACAAATGAAAATGTTATACTTGTTAAATATGTTATGTATTTAATAATAATGAGCAGTGTCATGAATTATTGCCTGTGAATGCATGGAATCCAGGTAAACATTTGCAGAGAGCGTCTCCTAACTCATCAGATACAGCTCCAACGTCTATGGTGCGAGTGTTAGAACCTGTTCCTGTTAGTAAGTATACATCTTTTCCAATAAGCTTTTGCATGGCAATAGATATAACAAGGACATCTGTATCAGGCGTTTTAATGATGATTTTGTCATAGGTTTGAGCTGAGTGCTTGGAATGCAGAAGAAGACGGGTATCTGCCTCTTCATGATCGCTTTCTAACTCTGGGACATTATTGGAGATAATTGGGTTCTCTTTGGATACTGCCGAAGTAAGGCGAATGCACTTATCACGCGACGTTATGTACAAGCATGCAAGGGAGCGCAGGAAAGATGAGGGATAGGTACGCCACTGATTTGCCAAAAAAGCCATGAGAGACTCTTTGTTTTTTCCAGAGCTCATGAACTTTTTCCATTGTTTGGGGATTTTCTGGGCATCATTAAAAATGTGAACTGTTTGTACTCCTGTAATAGGAACAAAAATTAATTTTGAAGTTTAAAAATATAATAATCTCCTGCGCTAGTATAACAGATACCTTGAACACTGGCTCTGCGAGCTCTCTCCGTATTCTTGATGCTAATTTCGGGATATCGATCACCTACAAAATCCAACCTCGTGGCAGACCATTTCGCAGCAAGATTCGTTAAATAGGTTAAAGTCGAGTCAGCAAACTCACCAAATGTCTTCCATTTTCCCTTGATGACTTGCAAGACTGCCATCGCGTCTACGAGAAGAGCAGTACTTTTGTCTGGAAGGCTTTCAACATCTACGAGAACTGATTTGTCACCCAGCGTCTCCATAACTTCAAACATTTTTGATTTGGCTGTCTTGACAAAGCCGCCTGTTGGAGTTGCAAGGGACAGTGGAAATTTGCTAAGGCTGAAAGATAACAACTCTTTTAAGTCGACATTGCGCGTCTTAGACAAAACCAGTAGTTTGGCAAATAGATTTCGGCTTGACTTCACAGCAAGTTGTTGTCCCTTGCTGTCTTTGACGGTAATTGCTTTGGTTGTAAAAGTTCTGATGTTGTTCTTTTTAATCTTTTTATATATATCTTTGTCGTCACTAAACAGATTTTCTTTGCAGAAATCATTAAACTGGTCTTCTCCAAGCTGCTCGGCTTCAAGTAACTTGTCGGCAACACCATCTTCAAGCTCTACACCGGTACTAATATTGACGAGGCTGGCTTGTTCAATGTTGAATGGATTGGCCATGGCTGATGCTGTGTTAACTACCTCTTGCACTTGTTTCTTGTGTTTCAAAATCTTGGAAGTATCAAGATCTTTCTTCATTCTGCTCAGAGAGTTATCAAAATATAAAAGAAGCACATAAGCAACTGCATAAGACTTAAGAAAACGAATAATCTAACAAACCTGGTTTTGTCGTTTATTCCAGCCATGTCTTTACATTTACTAGTAATAGCAGCTCTCTGCGATTGGGATAGAAGCCACCTGTGCACTGTTGACCGATTCATTGAAAAGCCAATCAAACCACCTTTCGTTTTAGAATCGTTGTACCACTTAGTGGGATAGTCATGAATAACCCTTCTCAGCTCTAAAGCGGCGAAATAGAGACCATGTAAAGGGGAGTTTGCTGAAGGATCCATTCCATAATGTTGAGTTTCCAGCTCAGCATCACTTATTTCCTCTTGCTCGGCACTTTCAGGGTCGTCACCGTCTACACACATATCCACTACACTACCTTTACACAAATCCTCTGCATATACTATCTCACTTCTATTACGGACTTTTGGTGTATGGAACACAAGCTGTGGAAATCTTTCTTTTAAACGTTCCTTGAGACTAGTACTTCTATATCCTGAGGCATCTTTATTTTCAATGTTCTTAACTGTGTCCACAAACTTCATCGTAAGCATTTTCATATAACATATCCCATGATCAACAATAATAACCTTTTTAATGTACTTGCAGAATTCCTCGAACGACTCACTATACAAAACTTTGCGTCCAGCATTAATCAACGCACTTTGACCATTATAAAGGAAAGATGTGTAGGACTTGTAGCATTTGCTATGGTATTTAACTTCAAGAGCAACGCAGTCCTTGTCTAAGATATGCACCAGAATGCGCTCGTCCTCTTTTCTTGTAGCTGCTTCACGTAAGCGTCCTCCGTCAATCGTTTCTGATGAAACAAGCTTGTCAACAACACGCTTTCCCTAGTGAATAAAAGATGTCCAAAGTTTACTGATATGCCATTACATTATTTCTTTTCAAACAAACTTACAATATTTAGTTTCCGTTTTTTACTGCTCTTTTTAAATTGTAATTAAGTTTTTTATTCTGTTCTATAATTATTTCTTTATATGGGTTAGCATAACAAGCGCTTTGGGCTAATAGGTAAAGCGCTATAAAAGTGCATATATTATTGTTATATTATTATTATTATTACATTTTGCAAGTGAAAATGGGCTATCTGTGTAACCAATTAAGACAATGAAAAAAATATTGAATTAAAAATTATTTCTATTACTTTACCTTTTGAACAATGAAAGACTTTTCCTTGTTACATATAATGCACACAGGAGGCAAAACAGCTTCATTTCTAGCTTGTTTGAGAGGATCATTTGTCAAGTGAGATGAAGATCTTAATAATTTTTTAGGAGGCTCCTCGCCTTGTACTGTTTGTTCATCATTTTGTGTTTCACCAACACTTGGAATTTCTCTCTTATTGTAACAACGTTTTTCAGCTCTCCTTATTAACCCTACATTTGTAAACTTGGCATAGCAATTTCTATGATACTGGAAGTTCTCAAGCAATGGATTATCGAGTGACCTTATTCTATTTACTAAATCTTCGTTTCTATCAGCAATCTCCTTATGCTCACCGTCGTACAAGCGCCATATATCATGGCAATGTAAAAATTTAGCTAAGGATGTTTCTGTAAAAGTAGATAGGGGACATTTTGCAGCCTTAAAATGAATAATGCAGCCGGGCGGGGCCGCCATGTTTTATGCGTGAGCCAGCGACTTGCCAACGGTTTTCATAAAAAATACAGCTAAAAACAAGATGGCGGCAGGAAAAATCAAAGAGCGAGTTTGTCACCTAAAAAGTGCTATTACAGCGTAGATTGCAAGTTTCAAAGGTGTAAACATCTCGAATCTTAATAAGTAAGTTTTATTAAGTACTTCTGTGTGATTTTTATTTAGTCATATATTTTTACATACGAAAATCGTTTTCTAAGCACATTTTCGAAGCACAGAATACGGCCTACCAGTTTTCCCGCCCATTTCGTTTTGGTTTGGAAAAAAAACAGTGTCCACATTTGGGGCCAAGTGAAGCCATTTGTCATAACATTATTTATTGTAGTTATCATGAATATTCACGTTTCTTTTCATTTCTTGGCTTTTGGGTGCATCTCCCAAAACACTGCGTTTATTAAATACAATGGCATACATTTAAAAAAATTGGCACGCAATTCATACATGTTGGTAGCCTGCAATTATTTAGCTACTGAATGAAGTAGATTTAATCAACATAGTCAAAACGAAATTACATATTAAATATTATTTTACGTCAAACTTTTTTAAGATTTGAAAATGCTATTTAGTTTTATGATCAAGTAATTTTCTAACCCTGGAATCCAATGTTCTACACAGTAAAAATAGATTGGTCAAAATGACCAAAATAAATTGGTCATTTGAATGCACCTGAGAAGAACAATTTTTATAGGTCAAAACAACCAATTCCTAAATTGGTCAAAAATACCAAAAACAAAAGTGGTTAAATTTACCAATTTATTTGACCAATTTTATTTGGTTGTTTTTACCATGAAATAAGCATTTTTTTCAGGTGCATATCCATGACCATTTGACCAATATAGAGGATCTTTTTAACTAAGCTAAAGAAAATCAATCACACAATTATAAATAGCACATTTTTTACAAACACAGAATACTTAAAATCTCTACTACATGCCATTAATTAACACTACAAAAGTTTTCTACTTCATAGAAGAAATAAAATGATCGACAAAAGTTGGCAATTGAGCCTTACAATTGCCATTTGAATTTAAAAGCAAATGTTCTAAAAGAATAAATACATTTTTGCAATGTCCATTAACGCCTTTAGGATACTCAGCATTAAAAGTATAAAAAGAACTAAGTAAAATAATAACTGCTTTGACAATATTTTCCGTTTTCAGCTTTTCCACAATCATCCCCTCAGCCACCAACATTATTGAATGAATGTTTCTTAATGTTCCTGTTGATAGGCGTCTAGGTGACGAACTTTTGTTAATGATCTCTTGAACTTCCCCCAAGCTTTTACCCTTCAACAGAGATAAAATTATTTATCAATTTTTTCACACATTTATGCAGAAAATATTATTTGTGACAATATCAACTCTTACATCAACAATGTCCCAAAATGATTTTTTGTTCATATCTCGATGGGTGCATTGGTCATCTAACACATAAGGCAAACATGCCATTATACACCGGTTCTTGACCTCTAAAATAATCAACATAGCATAGAATGAATATATTACCATTATCACTCTCTAAAGCATTAACACTTCAATATAAATAGGGATTTTAACTTATTGATTTTTACACCAACCTTTCTCATCTTCAACTGGACAATCCTCCAGCTCTTCAAGGATACTGCTGACATTCTTTTGCTTTGTCTTTTTAATAGCAGACAGCATTTTATATTTGTGCAAATTCCCATCGTTCCTTCATATCTTGCGAAGTTGTATTCCATCATTCCTTCATAAACTTCTTGTGAAGTTTTATTCGAGGAATCGTCTGATAAATATCATGTGGTTCTAAATTGAAAAATCCTCCGCGTCGACTTGATTAGCTTTAAAAATATAAGAAGCAAAACGTCAATGAAATTACGTTATTGCTGTTGGTATTCTCTAAAAGCGCTCGAGCAAATCTGCCTGCTAGCAAAACGTAAACAAGGCAAGTCATCTATAAATCTAATTTTGAATTATTTTCTACACTAGATTTATGCACGAGACAACAACCCTCACACATGCGACCTACATTTCAGGATGAGACAATACCTTTAAAATCTTCGACAAATTCATCCAATTTGTTGTTTTTCGAAAAAAGAATAATGTCAGCGACAGATGATTGTTTGAGATTTCCATTTTGCCCACAATACAAGAGTTTAAACGCTTAAATGCACTTCAACAAAGCACAAGAAGTTTAGAAACACGCCACGCGACTACATACATCGGCAAGTATATAGAAGTTATTGTTCCAGTTTATATTACAGTTCACTGGTGTCCCCACAGTACCCATGACCCCACGCGGCCAACTCAATAGAAATGGGGAATGCTATAACCCGGGCGATGATCGGGGACGCGCCTATTAAATTCCTGGTCAGCGGCAAAAGCCTTGACATAATAATCGCTATAAGTACAATATGTTTCTTGTATAAAATTTCATAACACAAATCAACACAAAGTATACAGCACAGCGCCCACATTGGCTTTTACAAAATATGCGGTCTTTTTTATAACGAATGTTACTGCAAACGCGCATTGTGAAGTATATTATTCTTTGTTATTGAGCTTGCTTGTAATATGTTCTAAAAGATATTGATGATGCTCAAAAGTATTCTAATCGGTAACAAAGTATACAGCACAAAGTATACAGCACAGCGCCCACATTTTATTATATGTTCATTTGGCTTTTAGAAAATATGCGGTCTTTTTATAACAAATGTTGCTTCAAACGCGCATTGTGACGTTAAATTTACGTATGAGATTAAATCTAGAAGCTAGTTCTTAGATCATAGGAAATGGCCTATCCTCAATGCCTATACTCATTATGCTGAATATTCGCGCACTTTTCATTCTTACGTATATGTACTTGCGTTTTTCAAGTGCTTTATCGGTCTCGCCTTAACTGCACCTAGATACCCTATCTTTAATTTATATGTTCAATATTGCGCACTTTTCATTCTTACGTATAGGTACTTGCATTTTTCAAGTGCTTTATAGGTCTCGCCTTAACTCCACCTAGCTAAGAAAAAATATAAAAACCTCGCATCAAAAGTGAAAAAAATAGTGGGCACATTACTGGCTCGTGGAATGAAATTCGTATAAAGACGTATAAGCGTTCGAGTGTTTGCTCTGGCTCATTATTAAACATTTCAACAGACTAAAATATATTAAGGAACAAATTTCGTGTTTCATACTCAGTATATGGCGCAGACAATTCTTCAGCGTGAATCTGCAGAATGCTCAAATAAACAAGTAAACTTCCTTAGAGAAAAACTCGCAAGTGTGCAAATTCTGGAAAATTACTGCACAGGATACATTGATGGAACGGTGGAGCAAATGGAAGAACTTCTTGAACAGTTTCAGGTCTCGTAGTTTGTTTTCAATTGTTACACTATACTGCAAACAATTTGTAACATATTCCGAAAAACATCATCATGTAAACTCAAAATTTCAGTTATAATAGCAAGAAACAAAATCTAAAAGCAATATTTTGACATTATTTCATAGTCATTATAAAGCTAATATAGCTAAGTTTACAAGATCATGTTTTTTGAAGTATGTTTTATAATTTATTTCTTCAAATTGTCGGCTTGAAAAGGTTTTTGTAATTGTTGAACAGTTAACTTTCAAAGGCCGTAATACGTAAACCTTGATAAGTTGATTTCACGCGTTAATATATTTGAAAAGTGAAAGACGTTTTTGAATTTAGGTAATTGATTCTATCTCGTTTGTGAAAGCTGACAACCACTCAAAAACAAGGGGCAATAAACGTTTTTCACTTACAGGTAATCAACTCAACCGCATCAAGCATCTTACCCCAAATTAAAGCGAGAAAACACCAAGAAATTTTCAACCGACGCATAAATTGGGCAGCCTAGCCTGCTACATTCCCCCCCCCCTTCTTCAATATTGCATGACCAATTAACATTTTATAGTCGCAAAGACATTCCATTATGGAGTTAGAAGAATCGAATCTAACAGTCATTTCTATCTATATTAGCAAAAAACTCATTAGGAAAAAACCGTTCAATGACTCGCCAATTATTTTGCTATCTCTTTTAAATACATTTTATTATCTAACACATCTGCATAACTTAGCATAATAAGAATGTTTTACTTGAAGACAAACAAAATGCTGAAAAAACATATCATTTATTTTTTCTAGCACCGCCAGTGTTTGAAAGCAAGAAGGAAATATTCCAATTGAGTTTTTGGAAATCCGTTTTGATTGTGAGCAACGAAACAAGACATTGTTTACATGGGAGCGCGAAAGTATGTATTCTTCGTTATGATATTTAAGATTTGTTTGTGCACAATTTGTCTTGACACCACACTGTTTTATTTTAACAAACTTCTCAGGACAGCAGAGGCACTCGCAGACACGACGTAAAAAGTGACCATGATTATGAAGAAAAGGGACGGATTCGATTACAGAACAGTAAAAAACTGGATTGTCCAGCACAAGTGCAAATAAGACAAGTCAGAGTATTTCTCGACTACTACATCGATCGAGAACAATTTACATCAGAAAACAGCTTGGTTATGGCAAAACGGAGAGTATTTAGAGCGATTAAGGGAAAAATGGATAACGATTCCTCCTCACAACTTCGCGCCAGCAGTCAATTTTACCTAAAAATACCTCTTAGTAGTGCTCATTCAAGTCACGCCATTGGTGCCACGGCAACAGTTGGGCAGCGAATGGATTACCGACTGGTCACGAAAGTTTATAGTTTGGTAAAACGCAATGTAATTAAAATCTCAGAAGTCAAAAGGTGTCTTGATCAATACGTTGAAGAGACTTTATTTCCACAAGACGGACAAAAGGCTACACCGCGCAAGACAAATAAACGGTACTGTCCAAATAAAAAGGATATTCGAAACCACGTAGCAAAAGCAATAGAGTCCCTTAAGGACTGCAAAGACGATCAAGAGTCCCTGCGCAGGAAGGTAGAAACCTGGAAACAGAATTCTCCAAGCAGCAAGTTTTTCTACCGCACAAGAGATAACGCTTCCAGAAACGATATTCCTCCAAAGAAGGATAAAAAGTTTTTGTTTGTGCATCACGAGCATTGGCAACAACGAATGTTGATTCGTTATGGCGAACAATTGTGTCTCATGGACACCACATACAAAACAACAAAGTACGCATTACCGCTTTTCTTTGTGTGCGTTCATTCAAACGTTGGCTACAAAGTTGTGGCTGAATTTATGTGCCAGACGGAGACCGAAGAAGCCATAGAAGAGGCTCTGGCTATTATAAAAGGATGGAATCCAGTATGGAACCCAAAATATTTTATGGTGGATTACTCATTAGCAGAAATAGGCGCGATAGAAAAAAGTTTTCCCGATGTACAGGTTTATGTTTGCGACTTTCACAGGTTGCAAGCGCTAAAACGGTGGGCTTCAGCAAGCAAGAATGGATTGTCATATGAACAGCAACAACACTTCCTTCTGCAAATGAAAAAAATTGCTAATTTCAGTACCAAACAGGAGTACGACAAGGCAGTAAAAGATTTTCGAGAGTCCAAAGTGTATAAAGAATGCAGCAAGATGAGAGAATATGTTGACCGTACGTGGTTTTCTTGCGCTGTCAGATGGGCACACGCTTTTCGAAAACAGCAAGTCACCAACATTGTTAATACTAACAATGGCGTTGAGGCTCAAAACAGAGTCTTTAAATACGAATACTTACCCCAAAGTATTGACAAATCTGTGTATGGTATTGCGGTGATGTTGGTTGAATCTTTCATTCCCGATGTTCTTCAGCACTATTTGGATGCAAACCTGCGACTGAGCAGCGCCTACTGCAAGTACAACCCATCAATCCCAGAATACTTGCACAACAGACCTCCGCACTTTTGAAATGTTGCCTTAAAATCGATACGCTTCAGCCATTTTCAAACAGGACGACATAACTCCGGTTAATTTAAAGAAGGGCACGTTCAATGTCAAGAGCAGAGCAATGTTGGAAAGAAACATTTCATAGACTTCCGAGAACCAAGTTGTACCTGCAACATATGGCACACTACCCATTTCCCTTGCAAACATTTTTCGCAGTTTTTCTTTCTATGACGAGTGGGATTTCGAAAGTCTTCCAGAAGACTACCGAAATAGCGTTTTCATCACTCTCGACAATGAACCTCTTGGATTGCCACAAGATACTACGCCAGAAGAACTAGAGGAAGCCAATACGTCATCATGGAGCACCATCAAAGAGACGTTGTTTTGCAAGAATCGTTGTCTTCTGATAACAAAAATATATCCACGACATACCCACGAAGAAACAGTTAAGTTTGAAACTACTTCAAACAAAAGTTCCAAAAGGCTCAGAAAGATCTTGCAAGAACAACTGGGCCAAATACACAGTATGACCTTCCTGATCGACAACGAGACCACTCTACAAGAAGCAGTGCAAAAAGCTGAAAGCTTGAAACAGTTTCTTGAACAAAACTTTCCCACAGAAAATGGTTTGCCTCTTCGATTGAGTCCTGTGAAAAAAAAATTAAAGGTTACCGATACAAAATACCATCAAATTTTTCATAAGGCCCTACCTCCCAGACGACGCAAGACAAAAAAATCTACACCATTTACAATAGATCTTACTAATGTGGGCGATGAAATGGCACAAGTAAGACAAGTTATTGAATTGCTTTCTTGTCATTTCTTAAAAAAGCTTCTCTCAAATTATTACTTTTATGTTTAAAAAATTTCTTATCCGTCCGAAAAGAGTAAAAAGACAAAAGCACTTATCTTACTTTCCAATATCTTATTAAAGTATTGTTTCAAAAGTAATTTTCACCAGCCATTAGATATACGATACGAAGGGCATCACCAAAATTTTGGTTTTTGTCTTCTAAATTGCACTCATTTTTGCCATACTCGAAAACAACGTTTGAAAAAGTTGTTCGTAATTCTTTAGATTACATCTCGTCACGAGTATTTTCTGAAAGTAGTCTTTTTATTTTCATAGGTGGCCACTAATGTGCAAAACCAGGAGATTGAAAAAAGAAATTCAAGCAGGTACAAACATATAGCAATAGAGAAATATTGAATGGAGAAAAATTTTCCAAAAATATTTGTGCAATGATGAGAGGGGGGTAGTAACATTTCAGTGTAGTATTTATATTTGCTATGTAGTAATTATTTAATATGAGTAAGGACTATACCATTACACATAGTCCACTTTTCTTTTCCTAAATGGCAACTGTAGTGTTGACGTCTCAGCTGAGCACAAGGCAAATCCACTGGATTGCTTACTGAATGCCTCTCTAAATGGAATTAAGTTAGGTGATCAAATGCTAGAATTTGGACCAAACAAAGTGACTCTTCAGGATTTATGGACCCTCATTCCACCAAATGAGATGACTAAATATGCTGCCACACTAATTGAAAATAAAACTGTGGCACCTGGATGGCTTAGTGATACAGTAAGTCAAGTGATTAAACACTCTACAGCTTACATATGATTATCATGCATCAGAGACAAATGATGAAATGGTAAATGAGCCTGATTGTTATAGTTTATCAACGCTTTCTTATGGAAACTTTCATGTGAATATCCTGGTGTCCTACCAGCAGAATCATATGTATGTCAGTTGGTGCAACGAGGATCTAATACACGTCGACTGTGGGCAGATCAAAATTTCATGGCAATTTACAAAATAATATTTCCTCTCAATATGTCTGGGAGCCATTGGACACTTTTGGTAAATACAATATGGATGCAACATAGCTAAGACAAGGCAACAAATTTTTATTATTTTCAATATTGTCACTTTTAAAGGTAATCGACAAACAAAAAGAGATGGTATACTACCTTGATCCTATGGAAGGTCATGTAGAAGAAGTTATCAGTGAGGCAACAAGAGTTGAACTTTCACAGTTTATCAAAAGCATTTGGTAAGTATACATATATTACTTCCTTGACAAATACCAGTATTTGAAATTTCAATTCAATGAATCACTTCAATGTCTTGGATACACACAGCAACATTGATATAGTGCAGTTGATAATATAATCCCTTTGTTTATAAAGTGCCCTTGTTGATCTAAAAAGTGGGTGGAACACATCAACTTGGTCTATTATTCAGCCTTCACACTATGTGCAAGAGGATGGGTTTAACTGTGGAATAATTATTTGCCTGGTAGTTGTTTTGACATTGTGTTCTAAGAAATAACAATTTAAAAAAAATCTCTTTTATTTTTATCATTTCAGTTTGCTGAATATCTGAGTCAAAATCTTGACATAAATGCAAAGTTTGACATGAGAAAAGTGAGGCAGCATGTGACTTCAACGATTATGGGTTCTTGCTATGATGACATTTATGAGTAATAACAAAAAAATTATATTTTTTTAAATATTTTAATAAAAGGGGCAAATTATAGATTTTATTTAATTGACAAAAACATTAAACTAGACAAAAACATTAAAGTCGTGATTTATTTGTTGGAAATATCCATAAAATCAATCTGACATTTGTAATGTTATAAATTGTGTGCTTGTTTACTATACCATAAGTAAAATGTGTAAACTTTATTAGGAGAAATAGTTTGGTATGCAAGATTTGCAAGATAGATGATGGTGAAGACTGGTTGGGATGTGATTCATGTGGGTAGTACTTTCATGCAAGTTGTCTGAATGTTGACTTTGGACAAACTCTGACAGAGTACTTTGCTTGCCCATAATCAGACATGACAATTGTATAATAATACAAAACATAAATTGTAAGATTTAAAAGTGCCGAATAAAAAAGACTTACCGATTAGAATACTTTTGAGCATCATCAATATCTTTTAGAACATATTACAAGCAAGCTCAATAACAAAGAATAATATACTTCACAATGCGCGTTTGCAGGAACATTCGTTATAAAAAAGACCGCATATTTTGTAAAAGCCAATGTGGGCGCTGTGCTGTACACTTTGTGTTGATTTGTGTTATGAAATTTTATACAAGAAACATATTGTACTTATAGCGATTATTATGTCAAGGCTTTTGCCGCTGACCAGGAATTTAATCGGCGCGTCCCCGATCATCGCCCGGGTTATAGCATTCCCCATGACCCCACGAGGCCAACTCAATAGAAATCCTCACTTCTTGACTTCTTCACTCGTTATTGTGTTCTTATTTCGTTGGAACTGGCAGAGTTTGCGACTATTTTAATTTTATAGTCGAAATGACCGCGTTTTTACCGTCAAATCTTTTGGCATTATTTGCTGCTAGACCTCCCATACCATATCTTCCTCCTCTGGATAAACTAGGTCATCAGAAAAAGCCTTGGCCGTACAGTGGAATTGCGAGTATCGTTGCTGACTTCGAGGTATTAAATACGTCGATGATTTAATGTTGCAATACATTTTAACACCCCTGTGGGTGTTGTTGTTGCGTTTTGAACACTAGAGGAATGAAAAATCAGATATCTCGACAAGTATAGTCCATAGAATGCAAACCGCCTTATTTGACTATAAAATATTGGGTCGTTATCGCGTATTCTATACCGAAACAAACAATTCAGTAGTTTTGGCAATCGACCTGATATACAAAGATTTTTGAAAAACTTTGATGTTCACAGCTCAAGGGAAATATACGTATTAAAATTTTCCCGGCCTTGTTTGTTCTTGTGAAAACCACGTGATTGAAATGAAAAAAATATTTAGGTTTATCAACATAATTTTTCAATAAAGTTGCATGTGAAGCTTCTCAAGAATTTGATGTACTAGAAATTAAATATGATGCAATATATTTTTCTTATTCCAAAAATTTTATATCACCAAGTTGACAGCAAGTACATATCTCATATGATTGGGTTTTCTGATTTTTTTAAAGTCATATAATGGCTATTGTTTATTGTACCTCATTGTTTTAAATCAGTCATAAATCCAGATGATATAAGTAGACAGCTACATTAAGTTGAACTTAACAAGTTATTCTTATTCCCTATCTGTTTGAGTACACAGAATGTGAATTTTGATTTCATTTGTAAAGTAATTGAATGGAAAGGTCTAATTTAATCAATTGATGAACTTTCTTTTTCTATTGTGTTTAATTGGATTTGCTCGCTTTGCGTGATTTTAATAAGATTTTTTATACAAAGAAATGCTAACATATTAATGCTTTTAATTATACATATATTATTTTTCTAATGATTTTTGGGAATTTTGGTTTTTTCATAATTTCGGAGAATTCAAGTAGAACTTTTACTTTATTTAGAATAAAGTCAATAACATTTTTGAAATTTCAAGGTTATATGCACACACATTTCTTGCATTGAAAACTGCCCAAGCTCAACAATTCTAGTGCTTAGCTCGAAGTGATAGATATATTTAGTTAAACCTTGTAGTTTTTTCTAATTTTCAAGTGTTGAATGAATGTGCAAAACTTTTGAGCAACATTAATCCCCAACTAAGAGACATTGATTTTCATATTCCTCAGCAACTGACATGTGATTGTGTGTATAAGGTACATTGCCAATGTGGTATCTATAAAAAACTGAATCACTTCAAAAAGTTTGCAGGTGCTATCAGTAAAATTGACTCTATTTATTTTTCATAGGATCCTGAAGACACACCTGATCCAACTAGAGTTGAAAAAATAGAAAGAAAGGTATGTTTTTGGTTTCAGAGAGGTAAATTTTAAGTTGGTACATCAAACCAGTCAAGTGAAGTAGGTGAAAATTTGTGAAATTGGTAAGTTCCATATTTCAAAATCAAAGCAAACCTAGATTATCACTACCTACGTTCAAAAAACATTTTCATACAAAATCCGATAATATTACGCATTACTGCAAGACTAATGGAGCAAGCATTACTTTGGTGTATTCAGCAGCGAGGTCAGTAGTTTCTGTATGAATGTATGACCTGTCGGCAATCTTCAAAGCTCAAAAATATGTTTTCAATTGGCCAGTTATTGATTTTGACCAGTCTGCAGGCAGGCAACTTTAAGTGTGCTTTGACTGATCTGTAGGTTAGCTTGCAAACTTTCCTTTAATACAATTGGTCAACAAAAGAGCAAAGAAAACCGTCATTGGTCAATTTCTATTGACTGGTCTGTCAGGTCAAAAGTTGAAAATAAACACATCGCACTCAATACAAATCATTGTTCCAACTCAAAGTCTGTATTATAAGGATATTTTAGTGCACTAAATGAAAAAATGGTTGTAACAGCGCTTGAAAAACCTTATTCCGGATTTCAAAATATTCCTGCTTTTGGCCTATATGTTTGAGGCACACTATCCCTAAAGAGCTGAATTCTAAATTGAGAATGTTAAAGCGGATGCTGAGCTGATCCCATTGTTGAATAGGAAATTATAAAAATGTAAATGCATTTCACTGCAATTTTAGAGCTGAAGTTTATATCCCTCTGGATTAAAAACAAAGATCAAATACACAGCTTTAATAGTACTCATTACATTTTTAATTTGTCATGAAAGCACAACGTTTTCTTTATAAAGTTTACTTTTTTCTGTAATATGTCTCTGCTAGTAATTAGACCTATTTGCATTTTATTTCATGTGCTTAAAAAGTCTTGAAGATGCAGAGTTTATCTTAAAAATACATTTTCATTTTTGAGTTATTTAACAATATTATGACTTATGATTTTTGAGATAGGGCAAAAAGTTGTATTGAGCTTTGCTTACATTTCAGAAAAATTTGAACTTTAATTAGTATTAATATATTCATGTCAGTATCAAAATGGTATGAAGGGGGTAAGATAAAAGGCTGGATCCACCACTGTTCTCATCGTACAACTTTTTAAAGAAGTTCAATAAACTTGTGAGAGGATCAGTTGTCAGAATAAACTTGTGAGAGGATCAGTTGTCATAATAAACTTGTGAGAGGATCAGTTGTCAGAATAAACAGTTGTTATTTTATAACATAATATATATATATATATCTAGTATACAATACATGATGGTGGTGGCTGATGGTAAAATATTTAACTAGAGCTGCAGCTTACATGTTGTATTTTTTGAAAATAGAAATGTGAAAGAATTAAGAAAAAGAAAGCGGATTTGGAGAAAGCTGCAGAAGAATGTAAGTTGATCCTAAATTGTTATAAATGTTCTAAATTGTTTTATTTTATGTTGCAGGCTGTTGGTGAAGAGTAGTGATTAAATAAATCTTATGTGATGTTTACTTTGCACTAGAACTTAGCACGAACCTTTAACATTGACAAAATGAAGTGCGTTGTGAACATACCTGTATTTTTGTACCAATATAATTTAAAAAAAAGCCTAACTATATTGCCTTTAAGTCAACTAAAACAGGAATAAGCTGTATTAATACCGAAATTTGTCAGGCAATGCAACAAAATCATTTGCCACTGACTCTTAACACTCCACGAAAGATGGTCAAAGTCACTAGTGTTTTAGTGGTTTGTACTCCACTAAGAGGGGACAAAACTCAACATCATAAAAACTGTGAAATTTATGCACTGTATGATATTTCTTTTAATTATTTTAGGGGATCCTCACACTGATCCAAATGCTGTCACAGAGGCATTTAAAACTTTATTTGTTGGAAGACTGGTAAGCAAAATTTTTTAGGAATAGGAGTTGAGCATTGCTTCGGGGCTGTTCATACGAGCCCAGCTAACTGGGATTCAGTGAGCCGTTAATTGATTTTGGCAAATGGAAACAGTTCTATTCTTACATATCATTAGATAAATCTTCTAGAGCAACTTCACTATATTTTGATTTAATAAGTATGCAAAACATTTAAAATTGAAACAACCAGTTTGGCCCAATTTGAGAATTTCAACAGGAATGGCTTGTGGCACTTAGCAAACAGCTGTAATCTTTAAGCTTGAAGTTTTGCCCCCTTTCAATGCCTCAAAATCAATTAACGCCTCGATGAATCCCGTGTAGCCGGGCTCATATGAACAGCCCCTTAATTAGATGAGTACATTGTTAATTGTTTTAATTATTCGTTATATGCATACCGTATGTAACCAGGTTTTTTTAGTTATTTACACCCACCATTACATGTATGTATAGTTAAGGTTATCGAGAGCTCACTATAACGGTCGGTCAACGGCAATGACCGCCCCAAAAAGCTTGTTGACCGGTTTGTTTACGTTACCGGTCATTTTGACCTACCTTATTTTTACGTCTTTCCAAGTACTCCAGTCGTGCGATGCATGGTAACAACTTTACAGCTTGAAACATCAACAGGAGAGTTTGTTTTCTCAAAAAATTATCTTTTCACCTTCTATGGTGCAAGTTGTGCCTAAAGTGAATGTTCGAACCAGGGAGTATTGTTACAAGGATCTTTATAGACTGTTGGTATTCCGATAAATTTGGCGGCATTCTTCTTCATAGCCAAACGTTGATTACTTCTAAAAGTTACTCCTTGCTTAACTCAGGAAATGACTACTCACAGCTTGTCGGAATGTTAGCCTATTCAGACACCAACAATCGTTTTAAGGACTTTGCCAACTTAAACTTTGTCCTTCTCGTCTACAAACATGTTTACATAATTGCGTAAAAGCACTTTCGTTAATACTTGTTTAATGTAAAAGACGAGTTTTTTCCAAATAGACATGTTTAGATATCTCATTCATTTGCGGCTGTGGACGTTTCTGTCGTTGTTTTGTGACCTGGTATGTTTATGAATGTGTCGGAGAGGTTTTATCTTTTTTAGAATTACGATACATCTGAAAAAAAACTGAAAAGAGAGATGGAGGTTTATGGTCCAATAAAATCGGTCAGTGTACTTAAAGTGCCTATATCGTGTTTTTGCATTTCTGCCATTTAAATAGTTCAGAGTA